TATCTATCTATCTATCTATCTATCTATCTATCTATCTATCTATCTATTTATCTTCTATCTATTTTTATGGTGCTGAGGCTGGAACCCAAAATCTTACATCAGCTAGGTAAGCACTCTACCACTGAGCCATGCTCCCAGTCCCTCACTGGTGAATCTTAGGCAAGCCCCCTCCTGCTGAGTCACACACCCCCTCCTCCTGGTATACTCTAATATGCACACTAAGCTGCATGTTTCCCGAGACAAGGTCTTGCTGCGCAGCTTGGAAGGCCCTCTTGCCTCAACCTCCCACGTTCGGAGATAACAGGCGTCCACCACCACACTTGCTTTAAGTTGACCATCTGTTGTTACCAACTATCTCCTCACAGCAACAAAAGCTGCCCACGTCCGGGGAGCTGTGGTTGGGGAGGCTTGGAGGAAGGTCGCAGGCTCCTTTGGTTGTCAGAGTTCAGTGCAGTCGCTTCCTTGCCTTGACCCCAGGTCAAAAGGGAGATTTGGGGGCCTGGGGAGATGACGCAGTGGGTAGGAACGCTTGCTGTTTCAGCCCCCATTGAAAAGCTGCAGATGACTGTGAGGGTGGAAGAAAAATAATAGCTCAGGACCCCCAAGGCAAAGTTCTCAGCACTTACCCCAGAGGGACAGAGGACAGGGATAAGGGACAAAGGCAGGAGATAAAGGACAAGGGAAGAGAAGAAAGGAAATGGGGCAAGGGTTTTTGTCCCAGAGGGACAAAGGACTGTCTCTTCATAGAGAGGAGACAGACATGACACACAGGAAAATGGCAGTTTATAAAGCTACAAGGGAGCCCTCATGTTGGAGTGAGGTGTCTAACTTTAATTGGGCATGTTAATTGGGTGAGCTAAAGGCGCTTTTGATTGCTAGAGTTGATAACTGAGCCTTGGTAGTCAGGCTCAGGAGGAGGAAGTGGCCAAATAAGGGAATGGACCGTGGGGCTAGCTTCAGGAATGTAATCTAGTGGTTTTTTACCAAGATAGAGGGAAAGGCAGAGAAGGGCAAGTTCTGCCCGAGTCACATGCTCAAGTGGGTGGTGTCTGCTCAGGGTGCCCACCCTAGTGTTGGGGAGCAGAAAGAGGCAGGCAAATTTGGGGTGCTTACTGGCCCACCAGTCTAGCTGAAACAGTAAGTTTGCAGTCTAGCGAAAGACCTTGTCTTACAGGAAATAAGGTAGAGGGCGAGAAGACACTGGATGTCATCTCCGGCTCAGGCATTGACTCTAGGTGGAGATTTCCCTAACCCAGAGCCCCTTCCAGCCTGTTAAACCCCATGGTTACACAGCACTCTGGGATTGCCTGAGCTGGCGAGGCCCAAAATCAAAGATAAAGAGAAGTGGTTGGTGATCTTTCTTAGCACTTATCTCAGCTTATAATTACACATCCATTAGCATGATGATGGGATTAATATCTGTTTCCATGGGCAGACTGTCAGCTCCTCAGGGGTCGGTCTTCACTGCCTACTGCATGCCAGCCGCGAAGTGCCGCTTGATAAACAATAATAACTGCAAAGACAGATGCAGCTATGATCTGGTGCCAGGAGGCCTCCAAGCAGCTTTGCAGGGATTATTACCGCATTTGCTCCTTGGAATAGCTGGGGGAAGTCAGCGCTGTGCTGAGCCCATGAGCTTTCCTCAAGATGGTGAAATGAAGGTGTATGCAAGGCAGGTTCCTTCAGCTGTGTGGAGGAGCCACACCTTAAAACAGACTTGCAATTTCTCTTCTTTTTAAGGCTTTTGTTTGGCTGATTGGTTTTTATCTTTTATTGCTTTTGAGATAGGTTCTCACTATGCACAGCCGTGGCTGGTCTAGAACTGCGAAAACCAGGCTGGTCTTAAATGCACAGAGATCCACTTGCCTCTGCCTCCCAAGTGCTGAGATTAAAGTATGTGTCCCTACATTTGGCCTCATTTTATGGCTGGAGAGATGGTTCAGCAGTTAAAAGCACTGACTGCTCTTTCAAAGGTCCCAAGTTCAATTCCCAGCAACTACGTGATGGCCCACAATCATCTGTAATGAGATTTGGTGCCCTCTTCGGGCCTGCAGGCATACATGCAGACAGAACACTGCATACATAAGAAATAAACCTTTATTGGCGGGTGGTGGTGGTGCACGCCTTTAATCCCAGCTCTCAGGAGGTAGAGTCATAAACAGCCCTGGCTGCCTTGGAATTCACAGAGATCTGCCTGCCTCTGCCTCCTGGGTGCTGAGATTAAAGGTGTGTGTCACCACAATCAGTATGCCCGAGTTTTGAACTTATTCTGGCTTCTCTTATAATTCTATGCTTTGTAGCGAATAAGCGTGTGGTGCGAAAGGTCTGAGTTGCAATTCTACTTTCGCGTAGCAGCTGTATAGCCTTAAGACAGGCCACATTTAAGTTCTCTGACGGGTTGTGTTTCTATTGCGACATCAACAGCAGTGTAGCAGGCTTGTGCCACATGATAAAACCCTTGGACCCGTGCCCGGCACACAGTGGTATGTGAGCAGGGAAAGATAGCTCTTCATCAGAGATGAAGGTGCTCTTGCTGAGAGACTCCAGATCTGACACAAGTTCCTCGTTTCCTGGCGGCTTGGAGGGCATTTTGGAAGAGGGAGCAAGCAGAAAGAGGTTTAAGGGCTGGAGGACGCAGGGGAGCAAACATTGCGCTCTGGACCTGAGCTTGTAAACTCTCAGCAGCCGCAGTCACCTGCACAAGATCAAGGCAGAAAGATCACTCAACGTTCCAGCAGGAAGCACTTGAACTGGACTTGGTAAGTTACGAGAGAGAAGAGAGAGAGAGAGAGAGAGAGAGAGAGAGAGAGAGAGAGAGAGAGA